ATATATATATATATATATAAGCTTGACAGCAAGATAAACATACCTCGTTCTCAAGGAGAACCTTATCCCCCACGAGAGACTTCCCCTGCAATAAGAAAATGCAAGAGAAAGTTGGGAAAAGTTTTGTTTGGAAGGCAAAATAAGAGTCATGAAAATATCCCAACTATCATGGGGAGATTGGCTGCGAAGAAAAATGAGCTTGAAATGCTTTTTATATTGCACTATACATATTAATTACTCGTTCTATAAGATAGAAATATTTTTCCATTTTTGTCATTTCGAACATGATTTTATACGCTGAGGACTCTCCTGATGCAATTTTACTCGCAAGTGATGATCTTCAATGAAACCAGTTGATGGAACAACCAATAAAGCTTCCCTTCAGTTTAGAATTTATTTATTTATTCACTTATTTGATGTACCATAAAATAAAGTTTGTACACAATTTTGAACTGGGTTGAAACCATTATTTTCCCATTTCTCTATATAAAATAATATATATACACTAACCATATACCCACATATATCTATATATTAGGTATAGATGATATACATATTATTTATATTTTATGCTAATTTCAATATAGCTTGATCACTCCTTGAAATTGACTTGAGGATCAGATTGAGCCAAAAAAATTTCTTGTCGCTCAACTTATTTGCCTCAATTTGAGCAAAGAACTAATTAAGTTTTAGAGTGATATTCAATCTTCAATCTAAAATATCAACCAAAATTAGGGATCAGTAATGAATCAGAAATGTTAATGTCATCGAACTGTAAGGTGATCAAACATTGGTAGAGGTATTTGCTAAGAAATAGAAGCTCCAAAGAAATTTCTCTAGGTAAATGGTAATGCATGCGCCCAGGGAGACTAGTGGTTACCCTAATTCATGATTAGATGTCTTGAAGGCAAAAGAGTTCAAAGTTGGGATATATGACAAGAGTATGAAAATAATTTATAGAGTGAAATGGTAATTTGGTGTAATGAAGGGATGCCATGCTACAAATGAGCATTACAGCCATGTATTTTTATTACTATTGTTATTATTCTAGGAATCCAAGTATTAAGAGATAAATTTGATGTAGAAAATATCAAACTTAAGTTCTCGAAGATAACTAAGATCTTTATCAGCTAAGATTTGATTCATCTACATTTACCTATCTTACTGATGATCCGTTATTATGATGTTGGCGTATGAATAGATTGTCATCATGATGTAGGTAGGGCTGTTAATGTTGAGTTGGGGTCCGCTCAAAATAGTCTTGAATGTATTTAATTCGGATCGAAATCAGCTCATGACTCGCTATGTTCGATTTTGAGTCAGCTCGGCCTGAAATTGAATAGAGCTCGATCTGACTCAAAATCAAAACGAGCTGGCTCAAATTTGAGTTATTTGCATTCCAGCTCGAATTCGTCTCAAAATCAAAAAAAGATGGCTCAAATTGAGTAATTTAGAACCATTTCAACTTGAAATCAATTCGTAGCTCGTTATATTTGATTTTATTAAGCATTATATAAAATTTTTATAAATAAGAAATAATTCGAGACGATGTCGATCCAGTTCGCGCCGATCGGTGTATGACTACGGCTCGAAATCGGCTAAAAAAATACGATCCAAAGTTTGGCTTATAGCTTGACACGTTCATTTCAATCCACTCTGGATCAAAGCTAAAACTCAAATCAATTTTCGGGTGATTAACATATTTGAGCTAAATTCACAGCCTCAGATGTAGGAGAACTTCTAAGAAGAATTTTACCAATAATTTTATCCTGAGAACATAAATAATGAAGCCCCAACAAATCTTCATCATTTGGAGCATAAAGACAAACATTGAGAATAAAAAGGGTTTTATTAGAGCAACACCTTAAATTTCATATTATTTATGGTTTATCCATCATTTTATTTATTCTATAAAGTATTTGATCATAATTTCTTTATAAGCTTCAAGGCTCATTTAAATTAAAAAAAAAAACAACTGACAAGCACAAGAGACTATTAATTAATAAAAATTAACTGTCTGCTACTTTGGACGCAATGTAGCAATTAAATCAAACCTGCAATTAGACTTCTACATCCACTTGAAATGTTCTATGTGATTAGAGGCTCTTATGCTTACAGCCACTTATTTAATGATCACACCAACACATACAAGCATCATCATTCTATTCTAATGACCATATCCCTCATGGCAGATGATAGTTGGGACACTACACTCAATATAAGTGTTTAAGATCCTTGGAGCCTACATACGTGGGGCCACCATTCATTTGTACCGTCAAAAAAATGAGAGCAGTAAAGTGTCTTAAAATATCTTCCTTCCTTCAGTTCTAATGAGCAAGTGTGAGTTAATGTTAGTTTTTTATTAAAACTTTTAATTTGTCTTAGAATCAAAATTAAAATCTCCGATTTTAATTCGAGATTGATTATCTTTCTTTTGGCTCGAGATCACTCCCATTGCAGAGAATCTTTAAAACACACACATATATGCTTGCAACTGCTATATTTTCCGCTTGATGCACTAACGGTCATCGTGCTGTAATGGTACGGGATGCTTAATGCAAATAAAATTAATAATAATAAATCTGTCATTTCTCTAAAACACCGCTTTTCAACCTCCGGTTATTTATTCCAGAGAGGCAACAACATACTTATTTTGATACATAAATCCACCTACTATAAGCTCGCATGTAGCACACTAATGCGCTAATTTTATAGCTCTAATTTGTGATTTTAAATAAAATGAAGCTCGACTTGGTATACATATCATTGAGAATAAGAAGGCCACAATGATGACACAATTTATGTTATCTATTTTTAAATTAATGTATATATTAAATGAATGGTTCAATATAGAAATTTATTTAAAAATATGCAATACAAATTATGTTATCATTATAACCTTCTCATTCTCAATGATATGTCCATCAAATAGAGCATAATTTTATTAATGTCATGAATCAGCCGCCTTGATTATTACTACAACTCATTAATAGCAAGATTATAAATCCTTCCCAAGAGCAACTTTATCCTCCAGCAGAGACTTCTTCTGCACGCATAGATCAAATATTTTTCAGAAAGTTCACATAGTCATTTAACACATGAAGGCGGATATGGGCAAAGAAAATTGAAACTGAGCTGGCTTCGTTAATGTGCATGAATTATAGCTATTATAGACAGCTAATCTATACCTGAACGGAACTGTGTTGCAAGTGTTTAATGAGCTTCTCATGAATCTGGCTTCATATATAAATATTAATATTTAATCATACTAATACTTGTAGGTTTATCCTAGCCAAATTCCAACGATTTTTTATCTTCGGAAATTGTGCACATAATCTAAGTTCAAACACATTCTTTGTTCAAATGTGCATACGATCATGAACCATACATATGACCAGAACATAGACCTGTATAATTTGTACTCCCATTAGTTGTTAGGTGTCTGATATACAAACAATTTTTCCAATTTACTCCTGACTTAGTGTGGTATCCTATGCATATTTTTTCATAATTTTAAGAGTATTGTATTGTCCTAGAGATTAGTTCCTTGTGCCCGGGAAGAAAGAAAGCCCAAACATGGAGGTCATAAGGGGGTTCGATTCACAAGTCAGCCTAGTTTAGGGCTGTAGTCGTTCTTTTATCTTAGATTTCACTAATTGTTATATCTTGCATAATTATATCGTTCTAACATTTAAATATAAATCCACATGTCAACTGATACTCCACCAAATATTTGTACAGAACTTCATAGTATTAGTTACCCATACATTCTTGCATATTCAAGAAGAGCATCCTTCTCTGTCTTATTCTCCTATGAGGTCTAGCCATGTGTGATGATGTGCACGCAACTTAAGGTGAGAATTATTGACCATATAAGTTTATGGTATCATTTGTCTGTCTCCTAAAGTGCATAAAATATCTCACATTCATGCTAAAACTATTTATAAAAACATAAAACTATTTATAAAACCACACATTTACAATTATCTTACAAACATGTTGATGATCTTACAAATAAATGTTCCAAGTGAATTATATGTTCTATTATGAATTAACACATATATAATAAGGGTACTTACGCTCATTATGTTTGAATTATATGTTCTATTATGAATTAACACATATATAATAAGGGTACTTACGCTCATTATGTTTGAATTATATGTTCTATTATGAATTAACACATATATAATAAGGGTACCCCCCCCCCCCCCCACCCCCCCAATTCGGTGCAGTCAAGCAAGACATAGAACATGAAGATTAAATGAGAGACAGAAATCGGTGTAACGATACTCCAAGTAGTGCCAAAGTTGCTCAAACATCATTTGATCATAAAACAAATCACACTATCGGGCTCAAAAGACTGAAAATACTTTGGGAAGGTCAGTCAATAAAAATAATGGTTGTCAAATATGACCTCAAACAAAATAGAGTCAAATTTCTTTAAGTGCAGCTGAGGTTACTCAAATGATCATTGTTCACAAAATGGATTACACGAGCCCATTTGGGACATCAAATTACTCATAAATAACACTCATATTGTCTAAATTCTGCATGTGAGCCATGGATGCTAAATTTGAGGCGACGACATAAACTCAAAATGCATGACAAAGGAGGTTAATTGGTTTGGATCATGATATTTGGATGGAAGTTTGATGAATGGAGTTAAGGCGGAGTTTTATAAATAGCGAAGGTTTGAGTGTCTGTGAGAAATTACTTTCAAGAAAAATGGGATAAAATATTAACCAATTTTAAAATAATCTTCAAATATAATATAGAACCAAAATATGTAAGAGCATGAAGCTGCAGCACTCACAATACCTCAAGCAACATTCACAATTATAGATCTAAACCATCAACCTACTAGTTCATGGTTTTTGCTCTTTTGTTTGTGAATGTCCTGTCATCATTATGGCCTTCTCATTCTCAAATATCTGTGAACAAAGTAGAGCATGTGTTTATTGATATCACAAAAATCAAATTCATTGCAGCTACAACATATTAATGGTTCTTAGGTAGGAAGAACAACATTCCTTCAAGAGAATCTTATGCTCCAGCAGAAACTTAAGCTGGATGCATGAATCAAACATCATAAGAAAGTTGAAATAATCGATTTTGATAAGAAAAAGATTTCTTTGGAAAGCAAAGAAGGCCATGAAAAATAAAAAAGAGCAGGGGTCGGTGCTCTGCATGAAACATGGAGTGAATATCACATTTAAATAAATTAGCTCTAATAAAAATCCACAATTGAAATTACAACATTACTGTCATACTAGACTAAATAAAAGTATAAACATATGAGCCTTATATGAAATTGATTTCAAATTCTTAAATAATATAGCATAAGATCGCAATAAATATGAAAACAAGGTCTCAAATAGTTATTTTCATAATAATATCTTATATAAAGTTGAAAAAAATCGGCTATATCATAAGATATATACATTCATTAATCAATTGTCAAACTTGTAAGCGATATACACTCTTCAAATCTTGTTGGATGTCCCATTCATTTTTGTTCTAAGATATTTGACAGTAAAATTTTCAAAATTAAAATTTAGCACACTTGTTATCAAAATTAGAAGGCCTGTTAAAAAGGACTTTGGTATTCATTTTGACACCCCTACTCAGGATGTCCTCAGTGTTGCCAAAGTTTTTCAGTTCAAAAGATATAAAGAGATAGTATTTGATGATACTAGCTCGCAATTAATAGAAGATGAGAAAGAGTCTCCAAAATAAGAAGCTCAAAGGTTTTATGATTTCTTATATACTACTAAACAACCCTTGTGGAATTGTTGTACCAATCACTCTGATTTATCTGTTTATAATTGGCTTGTTAATTTTAATTAAATAACTTTTTAATGATCATACTTGATTTATAATTGGCTTATTAATTTTAATTAAATAAGCTAAAAATTAGAATGAATACTTAATTTTTCATATAAAATTAAAATTTTGATTTGTACATAATTTTCATATACAACTAGTAAACATACTAAAAATTCAAAAGAGTGCATAAGTTTTTTATATAAATTTATTAAAAAAGTTTTACAAATATGAATAAATATACAATTAAATAAATTTAAACTAGCATCTAACTAAGAATCTAACTAAGTTATGCTCAGTAAATAAAATAATATATAAGTTGTAAGTAAACTTTTATGCAATCAAATTACACAACTAAATGTTGAAAAATTAGTTTATTGAAATAAAAATATAAAAAAATATTTTAAATCTATATGCATATTATTATTAAACTACAGTATATTACTATTAAATAAATAATTAAATAAGTTTTACTTAATCAAAATTTATTTAAATAATATATCATAAAAATATAGATTATTCAACAAACCATTTGTTAAACAAGAGAGAAGCTTATTGGTGAATATTAATAGATGAGTTACATTATGTTCAAACCTTCAATTTTTTAAAGAATGTTCAAACCCATTTACTTACTAATTTGAACAAACATGATCAAGTATTAATCCATCCGAGTTCGAGCTGTTCATCAAGTGCACTGATTCATTAAAAACCCTTGCTGTACACCAACGCCGAATGGGCCGAATGGCTCGCCCAATAACATAGCATAGAACAAGATTCCAAATCAACTGAACAAGTAACATCCATCAATCCATACTCCACAACACTTCACAAAATCATTACAAACTAAATGGATCGAGGAGTCGATCGATCAGAAGCGTACCGGCGGTGGAGTAGATCAGCCTTGATGCCGACGGAGATGGAGATCTCCTCGGCATCCTAAACAAAGCGGCCTCCCCTTCGATCTCCTCCTCCTCCTCCTTTACGAAACCGTAATTCAAAAGAAAGAACAGGACGAAAAACAAGCTATGACCGATACCAGCAGAGCGGGACGAGGTATATATAGAGAAGACTGTGGCCACCGCACGGGAAAGTGCCGTATGATCTTTTTATTAAAAAGTAAATGTTATGATTTTTTTTTTTTTTTTTGCAGTCATATATTTTATTTTATTTTATTTTATTTTAATTTTTTTTTTTTGAAAGAAAGTCTCCACTAATTTCTTTTCCTGTGCCAAGGAATTTATGCTTTCATTAATATTATGATTTAAGTAAAATATTTAGGCTATTTACGGCCAAAATCCACCCCCCATCCTAAACAACTTATATTTGAGTCATTCAAAACTTCTCTTTCTTTTGAAACAGTCACACTTGCCCACCCTCATCTCCCTCTTCTAAGAAAAAATATTACGTCTGGACATCTGCACATTCGGACGACTAATCACCAGTCAGTTCATCACCCACAAATGATTGTATGTACGGTGCCTTATATTTTCACCCCTACTGAGTTATATGTATATGAATGTCATTTTGGTCGCTACGTGGCTTCGAATCTGGCGCAATCGGTAAAGGTCATTGTATTTTGAAATAGTACATAAAATAGATATTTTGCCAATTGGGAATTAAGAAATTTCATTTATTTCTTATATATTCGTCCTTCTAGAGATGGATATTTGGTTTGTATCCTGTGTGTGTGTGTGTGTCACTGTGTGTGTGTGTGTGTGTGTGTGTGTGTTGTGTGTGTGTGTGTGTGGTATGATTTATCTAACTAATGGCCCAATTTATGTGTGTGTGTGTGTGTGGTATGATTTATCTAACTAATGGCCCAATTTATATTTTCCTATGGTTGTATAAAGTTCTGAGCATTATAAACACGTCGACATAAATTTTGATACATATAAATTTCTGTTGACATATTAAAAAAAATTATTAATTAAATTAATTAGCACCTATTTTTGTTTTATATTCATAAAATTCTTAGATATTTATTTATTTGATACTTCAAATTTTTTAGTTTATTGGTGGCCACTTAATATATACGTTAAAGAAAAAAAATAAATTATATATATATTATATATATATATATAAGGCATATATTTTTCTCGAAAGCTTAATGCCTAAGGCATTTCGGGTGATTAGCATCTTAATGCCATGACACCATGCCAAACCATGCTAAGCTAAGTGAATGAGACAAATCTAGCATTATTACAGCCACCGCACTTTAACAAGTCAAGTTGAAAAAAAATGTTTCTATAAAAATTTTTAGAAAGCTGAAAAAAATCAATTCCTCAAACAAAACTATGATGGTGGTCTAAAATGCAAAGGAGACAAAAAATTATCCTAAACAGATCTTAAGTTTCTTAGATGAAGGGGTATCAAAGAAATAATAGAAAATAAATTATTAGCTCAAATCTAATATGAGGATCTCATTATTGAAGCAACTCAAAATAGCTTTTAAAGTATGTGAGTTTTTATAAAAGTTAGAGATTCAAATGAATCATGCACTTGCTTAAAGGATAAAATTATGCTCCTCATCTTGTTTAAACTAAAAAAAAAGGTAATATCATATTAAGATATATTCTTTATGACCTCGGGGTAACAAAAAATTCATTTTTTTATAAGTAAATTTTATAGGTTCTTATCTTCATTTAAATCATCATGTATTCCATATTTAATGTTAACAAAAAATTATTATAAATATTTTCTTTCTTAACTTCTCATAAAAAAATTTTAAGGGATATAAACATTAAAAATGTCTCAATTATGAACATGATCCTCCTTTCGAAGATCTCATGATGATAAGTGGCATATAGGATCTTCGCTTCAAATCCTTAGGAGATACATCAATAAAGAGCCTTTGATGGGAAGCTAATGTTGGCCTTTATAGAGCACAAGAATAAGTAAGATCTCCATGTATTTAAAAATATCAAAAGAAATAGATTCTCGAATCACATAAAAATACTAAAATATCTAAATCCTAAAATGTAATTTTCAATTTAACTGGGATCCCTTAAAGATAAAAATTTCAAAATGTTTACATTCTCTATTCATCTTAAAATCTTGGAGGGCATAAGCCATATAAAGTATATATTATTTATTCATTTAACCATTACAAAAGACACGTGACTGAGATATTATAGATTATTCACTTATTTAAAAATCTTAGCAAGTAAGCTTCAAAAGATACCAAGTTTTTATCTTTTGAAGGTATATGATTTTCATTCATATACCTTGTAATGAATGAAATACCAAGGATAACACACACACACACACACACATATTAAACCAAATTTGTGGGTAACATGAAGTTATATGAAGGGTCATATCTTTTATAGGGTTAATTTGTCAAAAACTCATAAATGTTTTGACACACAAATAAGAAGTTTATAAATTATCATCCATATTTTAACATATTGAGTTTGTCTATCAATGCATAAAAAAATGCATTTGAAGGCTTCATAAATAAAAAAAAAGACTTATTTTATAGAAAAACATAGATTTAATGCATCTTAATGATGTCAACATACTCTCCATTACTATCACTAGAGTAATCATGCCTTTAGCTTTTTTATTAGGCAAACTCCTTTCTCTATTATAAATAATTTTTCTTTAATTTGAAATGCCATGAAACACTTTCTCTCTATTAAATCCATGCTCTCTCATCTTGGATAAAATCAAATTATTAATGTTAAGGCCCAATAGCATTTATTAGTCTGTCAAAAAATTCATTTCTCTGGTAACTTCCATTCTTCTCTAATATTTGATCCTCATAACTTTTGTGCACTATTTAACAGTAACTAGAATACACATGCATCCAAATAAAGATTAAAGTTAAAATTACACAAAAAAGAAGACGTGTATATAGTAAAAGCATATGAACATAAGAAAATTTATTTATTGAAGGCAAAAAGTAAACTTCAATCACTAAAAAGCTTTTTTATACTGATATTTTTGAAGAGGCTAAGCATCTGTGCCATTATTCTATTGATATCTTTCAAAAGGTAAAAGTTTGTGTGTGTGTGTAGATGGAGGTGGGTGGGCGTGTCGTGTTTGTTTTTGTGTGTGGAAGAGAGAGAGAGAGGTGAATATTGCTAAGAAAATTTTGATAACCAAGAATATCGCGAAACAAAGAGCCAACGATGATAAACTTTGAAAAATAGAAAAAAAAAATTGCATTTTATAAATTCAATCCAAGTTAATTAAATATTTCCAAAATATGTTCAAAGCATTAACATTAAAAGATGTTTTATTAAATAATACAAAATCAAGAGCATGTAAAGTTAAGAGAGATGCTAATCACCAAAATAAATGCCAATAAAACAACTAGAGGATGCAAAAGAATCCATAATATTAGAAGACATCGACTAAAATATATTGAAGAATATATTAAAGTTGTAGAAAAGCAAAAGAAGAAAACGACAACCATGTCCTTAGCCCATTATAATAATTAAAAAAAAAAAAGTTCGACAAATCCATTCATGATCAAAGAATAAAAAAACATTAGATATGCATGAAAGAATTTTTAAGATAGCTATTAATAATAATAAAATAAAAAGGCATCAAAGACAAAAACATTAAATTCAAGAGAATCGTGGGAGGAAAACCTGTCTGAACAAGTCTACGCGATAAGTAATTATTGTTGACCAAATTCACTCGACGCCTTTCAGATTATTAAAAAACTATTTAAGATTATGTTTAAGGTTATAAATTTATATTTGAGGATGCCATCAACTTTAAATTAATTATCAATATAGACATGTTCTTGAATGAAAGTTTGATCAAAAGATGGAAGATGAAGCAAAACATTTTTTTTTTCCTCCCATGGTTACCAACATTTTCTTGTGATAATTTTATAGAAATTACATAGAACTGTAAGTCTATAATCAGCAGCATTATAGGCGTGAAATGTATTTCAAATAAGTAACATGACAGTGGGTTAGCAGTCTTAAGAAGGCTTAAAGTTGATTTAAAAGGCAAAATTATTCAATAACGATATAAAAATAAAATGAAAGAGCTACCCGCTTAGTTGTGAAACCATTAAGATGAGTGGCATAAATTTTGGTAGCATAAAACAAAAACCTATCCAATCTCCTCCACAAATATACTAGTCATAAAAGTCCTTGGAATAATTTAGGGATAGAGGAGAGGACAGATACGCAATGATTAAAAAAGATTCCTTAAAGCAAAATTTTCTAATAGACCATTACAAAATTGTTCAAAGGGAAATTGACAAATCAGAACTGCACTTTGTTCATAAAACCTAACTAGAGGCAAGAATATATATCTCTTTCTGTTTAACCAAGGACTAATTGCCACGGGTCACAAAATAAGATGAAGAATTGGATTCCTACTTTTGTTTTAATAGAAAAAAGAGGGACGTAAAATAGCGAGATTCTTCTTCTTCGAAAAAAAATTCCGTACATAAGACGTACGCAGAACTGAGTATGTTTGTAACCTGCAAATATGTTACAGGGAGGATATTTGGAGGTTATGACCGCGTTATAGCCCCTGTAATCTCCCTGTAATCTACCTATATATGAAAACAGAAGCGCGGAACTTACTAGAAGGTACAGGTAGATTACAGGGAGGTTACAGAGGTTATAACTAGGGCTGTCAATTTGGCTCGTTGTTCGCGAGTTGTTCGCGAACAGCTCGTGTTCGGCTCGTTCGTGAGGCCTAACGAGCCGAACACGAACAAATTTTTAAGCTCGAAATGTAAACGAGCAGAACACGAACGAAAGTTTGTTCGCTCGTGTTCGGCTCGAATTGGCTCGAAAATAAATATATAAATATATACATAATAAATATTCATAAAATTAAATACTGCAATTTATAATTAATTAAACTTTTCTAAAAAATAAATTATCACATTTTATAAAATTAAATCTTATAAATTAGTATTAGTTATATAAGTATTATAAATTTATATAATAGTATCATATAAGTTGAATAATTAAAATATTTTAATATATATACTATAACTAAAAAAACCCTAATCTCGGCTTCCCCATTCCCGTCTTGAAAGTCCTCACCGAACTTAGGGTTTGTCGTCTGTGTTTGTCTTCTAATATCTAC